GTTGTGCCTGTCAGAAAAGTAATTACATTAAGTAATAAAAGTAGCGCATTAAAGTTTCATCAAAGTCCCTGAAATATTCAGAGAAAAATAACTAAAGAAATAATACTTCACAGGAAAATATGGAGAAGGGGAGAAATATTTTCCTGCAGCTCTCAGAATTTCTTAAATTTTCTTAAGTCGTAATCTCTCTAATACATCAAAGTACGTGTCAGGTGTGAAAGGACCTCACCCGGAAAAAAAATGGCTCCCATCTGATTTACGGTTCCCTGCCGCCTGCGCGTTCTTCCAGAGCATGTATAAGTCTGGCATTGTATCTGAAGCCTACAGACATCTGTTATTAACACAGTAAGAAAAATGATGCTTGGATGAGGCAACCTTACACAGCAAAAAAAAATGCAAAGCTGAAATGTAACATAAAGGTGACGTTAGTCACCGCGTGAGACAGGGTTGCGGTGCAGACAAGGATAACCCCGATTGAGGGGGTCCAGCCTCTGAGAGGGGTCCTTGTATATGTAAAATCCTATTAAAAAATGGGGCACAGAGGCCCAAGGTGACATTTTGTCAGGGGGGAGTCAAAATTTCTCAGTATGCGCCCCTGATCTGAGGTTTAACGATTATGGCAAATTTTAGAGGTAGAGTCATAAGTATTTCACAGGCCGGTTCTGAAGACAAGAGAAATGCAATTTTAATGTCAAGCGGGCCTTTGAGTGTGGCTGCGGAAGAATCTGATAACCACCTTCATGCTGTAGCATGTCTAACATTTTTTCAATGCCAAGAATTTTCAGGCAGCAAGACAAAAAAAATGCAAACAGTGATGAAGCTGCAGTGATAAAAAATTATTCTTCAAATTTAAAATTTTTGTATTCGACACTTTTTTTTTTGCTAAATTTGGGATGTACCCATTATTATAATAGTAGCTAAGAAGGATATTTGTTGGTCAGCTACAGTTGTTGGTGTGCAGACCTTTGGGGTCCTCGTTTTCCCTTCAAGTCTCACATACAGCTTATATGTATCTGCAGGACAACATAAATCGCGGCGTGCAATTACATGTTGCGCAGTTACAGTACAATCCATGAATAGTTATATCATTCATGCAGTAACAGGTTGCTGTCGGGGATAATCAGCCAGAAACGATTAAACTTTTGACAGCGTCTATGCATTCAACTGAAACAATCCTCTGGCGTGAGAGAGAGTGATTTGTTAGTGCACAACATGTTACAAAATCATGCTCTGCCTCAGACGTGTGCCTGAGGTTGGTGGAGAGTGGCACAAGCACGAACAGAGCAGATGATCCATCAGCGCGATGAGAGCGATCCAGAAGAAGCTCCAAGCCACTCCGATGCATCCTTACACACAGTGCCATGTTATGCATCGAAAAGTTGCGAGCAGACAGGTTACAGAGGTGGAAAACTGAAGATTTGCTCATGTATAGTATGTCATGGCTTGGCTTTGTGCAAACCTGTGGCGGAGTAAAGCATCATCTCTTGGGGCAACTTATAGACAGACTGCATCGACAGATCAGGTCACACGGGGAAGCCCTCAACCTGCCTGGCACTTCTCACCCCACGATCCCCACAACATTTTGCCAGCCCAGGGGTGGGGGGCGGGGGAGAGGCTCAGTAAATTTCACCAGTTTGGGGGGGGGTTCTCCTCACCATGTTCTGCTGCCCCAAGCCCCCCTCGGTACAGGAGATTAATAGCAATTGACCAGTTACAGTCGCCATGGATTTTTTTCACGTTTTAAAATATAAACAAATATTTTCTGGAAATAGTCTTGCAATCTTGCAACCCCCCCGGTGTCTCAGGACCCCCACTTTAGCCCCACCCACAGTATCCTCATTAGTATAAAATACAAAACCGAAGTGTAATGTATTCATTAAAAACAACATGGATCATCGTCCGTGTTTCTCTTTAGAGAATAAGACGTCCCCCCAATCTGAGAATGTCTGGGAAGCACCGATTATCTACGAAGAGGTTACATGTTAACTGTAATCAAACCAGAGGGCCGTTTTCATCTCATTTGCTGTTTACTCAGCTGATTGACTTTGCCAATCTAATTTGCCTGGTTCTCTTATCCTCCCCACCACATAAGAACATTTTAATTACAATGGAAAAGCTTCCCAATATTTTAAAAGTGACTTTGCTGGACATTAATAATCAAGATGAAGATGGTGCCATTTTTAATTCTCGTCAGACTGATGAGTCATTCACTTGCTGTCTTGGATCATTTGAGATTTTACTAAATGTGAGCATCGACTGAAAAATTCCAAGATCACTCAACTCCAAAGAAACCATGAAGAAAATCTAGGGTGTGTAATGCATTGCAAACTAATAACAAACAAAAGAACAAAATACTCAGTAATGCCAATAAAATGCCACTTTCTATTAGCTGACCCTCCTATGTAAAGGGACATACATTTCTGAGAAGGCAGTGTCACTTCCTGGAACAACTGAGGGTTAAGGGCTTTGCTCAAAGGCTCTGCAGTAAAATTACTCCACTGACTGAGGGATTTGAACCAGTGACCTTCCACTCACTGCAGTCTAACCAGCTGAGCCACACTATACCAAGTAATAAAGTAAGAAAAAATATTAGGGACCCACATTAAAACAAGACTTCCATTTACTAAAACATCAAAAAGCAGTGTTCGGACAAGACAAAGATCATCAGCTAGACCAATCCCCTTTTAACACCACAGATTAGTGGTGCTGACTGGCTTTAGTACTCAACAATCAGTCTCACCCAATATCATCAAACAAGACTAGGATCCAGGCACAGATCCAAACCAAGCAGTAAGACCTTGACAGTAAGACCAAGACTGCATGAATGTGGTCTCAAGACACACACAAGATGAGCGCCACAAAATTAGTCCCTGGAACTATGACATGCTACAGACTAGTACACTGGTACAAGGCAAACTGGAGCGCAGTGGATACCAAGGGATGCAAATGAAGATGGCAAGCCAGAGACATTCTTCTTGAAAAGTTCCCAGTAAATGTTTTAGGGACAGTTCTGGAAAACTAAAGATTTTTAATAAAATATAAAAACACTCACTGAAGGATGAATGTGTCGGCATGCTATTGAGCAAATCAGAGTTCGTTGTTCTTTGTATTGAAAGACAAACATAATAAGCAGGACTGTGGGGTTAGTAAAAGCACATCTATGCAACAACATCAAGACTAAGGTCCTAAAGATATTATATCATGTATCAAAAGTCCGAATAAAATCCTTCTGTAACTGTTTACAAAAGTTTTACTAGTTTCACTAATATTGTACAAAAAATGCCGCATCCGATGCTTCATTTTCATGTGCCAAACAGTAAAACCCTGCATGGCAGCAGGATGGAAACCAGGCACTGATGCCAAACAGTAAAACACAGTGAAACGCAGTGAAAACACCTGGATTTATTTTATTATAAGCTGAGCCACTGTGGGCATCTTAGGCCCTGTTTACACTTTGATTTAAAATGGCGTCTTGGGCGATCAGATCGCAAGTGGGCAACTGAGACACATCGCTGTTTACGCCTGTGTCCATCATGCATCTCCAAGGTGTCCAGCTGACCATTTGTGTTTAAATTTAAGTTAAGTTACTGCCTGTGTTACTTAAACTAGAAGGTCAATTGGCCACGTGCACAATTTCTGAGACGTCCTTGTCGGCGATGCATCAGGATACATGAGCATTTACCCCACAAAACATTATGTGGTGACATGCATCCCTTAGCCAGTCCAACATTGCAAACTGCATCTGTCATCGGCACATTTTATTGGAATTATTGATAATATTTACATAGCGACAAACAAATAATTACACCTTAGTCCAAGAGTATCAGTAGCTGGAGTATTCTTTCCCAGCTCATTTAAATGCCTTAATTGCATAAGCACATTTGTGCACCACTGCAATCATTTATAAACAATTCTTTTAATTTATCCATTGGCCATTTTCAGTTAATTATAACCATTATACTCAGCAGCCTTAAGGATGTATGTTTGGGAAGTTTTGTATCCAAGCTGTAGAGAGCAAGTTAATAGTTAGCATTGATCAGAAGGAGACTCTGTAGCAGAACTGCACCACGGTCCTACGTGCCGACACACGTCGTATGTCACTGCGCTTGTGATGGAGCTGCGCTCCCGCAAACGCTCACTGGCATTGTGCGGCGTGACAATGACACGCTGTCCTCAGTCCCCAGCCAGACAAAGTGGCTGGTGATTCGTTTCATACAATACGGCTGCATTGTCACGTCAGTATATGCCAATCTGACACATGGGTGACGCACACGTGATACACTCAAAGAACACGCAACCATGCAATATGGACATCAGCTGTTTCTGATTTAACTAAGACTGCAGAAACATACAAGACTGGCTTTTTATGAATGAGAAATACTTTTGTAGAAAAAAAAATGCAAATTCAGTTTATAGAAAACAAAACATTCACTCACTCGCAGCTCTCAAAAAAGAAATAAAGAGTATTGTCAGAGCTGAGCTGGTAATATGATATCACTCATTCTCAGAAAGTTCTGCAGGTAGATACATTCAGGTGTTAGTTCAGGTTAGGTTGGTGATCCCCAGCCTTATGGCCTGTGGTGCTGTGGACGGGCTCCCTTACCCGGGTAAGGGTTTGGAAGATGGATGGAATGAAAGATGGAAAGATGGATGGATGGATGGATGGACGGATGGATAAATAACTAAATAAATTAATATTAGTGTTGGTCGTAGTAGTAGTAGTAGTAGTAGTAGTAGTAACGCTATTGGGATTTAAACAAATCACAATTAAGAATATGAATTAATTAACCTTACATACACGACGGTTTATGTGAACATGTAAACTCAGGACACACCCAAAAAAGCTCAGCATGTCATTTAAAGGTAGTTACCCAAGCGGAGTGATTATCTATTCGATATCCGAAACAATTAAAAGGTCATAGTATAAATCAATAAGACTTGTCAGGCGGCGCTATGGGTCGTTAGTTTTGGGCACGGAGGGCTCGGTTATCGCGTCTTACCTTAATAATACTGCTTTTCAGCAGCGTCCCGGCTTTCCCATTTTTTCCGCCGTAGGAGTTGTGATCCGCTTCAAGGCGCTTGAACTTAGGTGTCGCTGAAGACCTGGAAGCCACCATGTCCGGCAGCTCACACCCCCCGTTAGTGACTAATTCTCTGCGCCGCATCTCCGCCTCATCGCCGGCTACCGCCGCCACCGCGCTCGGACTCGCCGGTGATGCCTTTCCCCCGGTCTCGCCTATTTCCACCATAGGCTATATAGAAGGAAAAGACAGCCACGGGGCACATTTCAATTTCCAAATTTATTTTCCCGGTTTTCATTTACATATAGATTTATTCCAACTGTTTTCCTACCTAGCCTATATACATTTGCTAGTTCGAAAAGGCGTTCGGTTTCACTTTTGTGAGATCTGTGTTCGCTATAACTCAAGGAAATTCGCTTTATTTTCATAACACTCAACTATCTGTTACTTGCGTAATATTTAAACAGCAATGTACAATTAAACCGACCCGTTCAAATAGCTAGGTGATATTAATTCATATACAGTTGGTAGTAATGCGAGATTGCCATCTTCATTTGCTAAACTAGCGCGCATTCTTCTAATTTCTTCGCTCCTAGATCATCGCTCTGCTCCGCTGGACACGCAGTACAATGTCTGAGCTCGACTGTCTTAAATCCGCTTGATATCCAGGTGTTCCGCAGCGCAGCCAAGGTACGCCCCAGTTACGTTAAAAATAAATAATAAAATAAAAAGTCCATAAAGTACAGTTATCTGACAAACTGATCACTCCCGATGACAAATTAATCACCATTACAATCTTCCCTACAACAACGTGTCCGTAACAATAAAATGCTCAATATCAGTTGCTTACTTCACGTACAGTAGACGTTCATCCAGTAGGCAAAGGTGAAGAGCATACTGTATGCGATGGACGTGGTTGAGCCACTAGCTACAAGCATGCTGTAATAAGGCCGAATGTAATCATACAGTACATACATACAGGCTAATAGAAGCAGCGCGATGCCGTTTGAGGACGGAGCCCCGATGCTTCTTTCCCAGCAGGATTTTTATTGCCTCCGAAGTCAAACGCCGGGGGCGTCCGAAGCGCTGGCCAACTGCTTGACAGCACAAACGCCATCGATGAACCCGACACCATCCATCAATGAAACGCCTCGCTTAAAAATGAATGCTTGTGTATTTACTTATTAGCTAATTGCACCGATGACATTTGAGTGGTAGGTGTCGCAGGTCGAATTGCCCCCCCCCCCTCATCTAATAGGGGCTGATGGTCTTCTCAGACATCTTTTCAGATGTTCAATTACTTATTTTTTTAGCAATTAAATACCATGCATGTGTTTGCAGTGATACTGTCATATGCTTTCATTATTTGCATTTTTTTAAAACGTAACTCGGGACTTTAAAAAAGCCTATATTGATTGCGCAGGTTGTTATGGACCGGAATGATGAAGTGACGATACACAATGCCTACTTACGTACAAATGGTAACTTTTTAAGAACTTAAACAGATGAGACAACAAAACAAAGGCAGCTCAAGGGTTCAAAAGAAAGACAGTTGGGCTACATGAAGAAAAACATGGACTGGAACTACAAGAGGCAAGCAGAGGGAACTTAAAATAACAGCTATAAGAAATTATAACATTAGAGATCATTACATTATTATAACATTATTACATTAGAGATCAATCAGGACACAAATCAGGGACAGGCACATAGGCACAAGTGTAAGAAGGAAAAGGTGTGAGCCATAACAATCAAACAAAAAATAAAGACTAGGGGCTAACAAGAGCAGGTGTGGGTCAATTTACAAATCACAAAAGACTCAAACTCTAGGGGTGACCAGCGACACCTGCTGGCCAGGCAGGGAAATGACAGGGCAAGATCCTTACAGTACTCCCTCATAATACATACACTCTAGGCATGAGAGATACTGCCAGAACCAGGATAGAGCACACAGGACTGGGAACAAGACACAAGAACAGAGCAAGACAACCACAATCCATCAGTGAAACCCAGGGAATAGGATGGGACACAACAAGAGAACCAAAACAGACAGGTGGAACAGAAGGAGCTGGGTCAGGGTCAACAGAATGGGGAACCTCAAAGGACAGGGCCAGTCTATTTGGGACAGACAGACTATGGGCAGGACATGGCACATGGGGAGAAGCTGGAGGGACAAAACCACTGGTGGAGGAACAAAGGGAATAGGAGCAGGAGACAAAGGAGTAAACAAAGGAAGGAAACTGGGTGGAACAGGGCCGGACTGTGGTCTACGGGACATCAGGGGACTGACAATGGACTCTGGGCAAGATGAGGGACATTAGGTTGTGGAGCGCTATTGTACCAGAGGTGGAACAGACGAGGATGTGACATGAGTGATGGGAGAAGGGACAGTGAGCACAGGTGAGACGGGGGCTCAGGAAGCAACAGGAACAAACACTATAGGCAGCAGCCAGGGAACCATGCGACATGGCCTCCCTGGGGCTGGACATTGGAGACACGGGCTCTTCTGGACATAGTGCTCGAGACATGGGCTGAGCAGCTTCCTTGGGGCTGAATGGACAAAATGTCCCTCTCTGGGCCCAGAACCTGGGACACAGGCAAAGCAGTCCTATGTGGGCCAGGAGCATGAGACGCGGGCGAAGCGGCCCTCGCTGGGCCAGGAACATGACACGCGGGCGAAGCGGCCCTCGCTGGGCCAGGAACATGACACGCGGGCGAAGCGTCCCTCGCTGGGCCAGGAACATGGGACGCGGGCAAAGGGGCCCTCGCTGGGCCAAGAACATGACACACGAGCGAAGTGGCCCTTGATGGGCCAGGAACATGAGACGCGGGCGAAGCGGCCCTTTCTGGGCCAGGAACATGGGTTTCTAGAGATGTGGCAGCCTCCCCCAGGTAGGGCTCTGGAGATGCAGGTGAAGTGGTGGCGACTTGCCTCTTTTTAGAACTAGGCCTGGCACTCACTGGAAGTAAGACTGTTTTTCAGTATGTTTACTGTATATACTTCGTAATGTTGGGCCTATAACTGATCAGCACAAATATGGAACATCACCCTTTTCTGGGTGGGAGTTTCATGCCGGTTTTTCTTTGGAGAGTGTTGAGTATGATGTCAACGGATTAATTGCAAGTTCTGAGGTCCCGCTGTATGTTTAATTTGAGTAGCTGTTGGGGCTTGGATGGTTACTCACACTTTTTACTCACTGCCTATGTATTCTCCCTATAGTAGATGTGTGTCTTGATGTTGCCCTGTTTGCCTTATATTAAGTTCTTCCTTTATAATAACAGGCCAGCACGTTATGTAGTATTTTTTTTTTCAGGTACAGTAGATTTATTTTATTTTATCCAATTTGTGTGGGTTTGTTAATTGTTTTTGTGATAACCCACTTTTTTAACAATGTACCCTAAAATCAACTTTTGCGAAGTTGAGTACTGCAACGCCTGAAGCTCTTCAAGGTTTGTAGCTCTTCCAAAGCCCTTGGCCTCAAAAAGGTTTTGCTCACCCAATTATTTTCTTTTCTTTTTGCCTTAGTATAGTGGGCGGTGCTAATGTTGGCCAAAGTTAGGTGGTGCAACTGTGAGAACGTGGCTTCACCAGATCTCTATCTGCCAGCACGTGATTTTTAATCTTAATGGAGTTTTATGGCAAGTTTCATAAATGTATTATGTAAATGATAGGCTGTTGATAAGAAGATTAAAGCTCCATACTATCAGGCATGCTTTTTATTAGCTTTATTAAATTGCATTTAGCAGTGGAACATTGCAGATAAGTAACCAGCAACACTGGGTTAGGTCTCTCTGGTAGGTATTACAAGATGAGGACTTTTTTTTTACAAAGACATGATTCATTTTTGTGTTCTACCATGTGATCCAAGCAGAGAAGGAACTAAAGGATGGCAGAGCCACCTTTGTTGCCACCCCACATCAAAATTTCATTTTCTAAGTCGAACTGTAGAAGAGACACAGTGGGCCGTGGTCACCCCCATAAATACAACTGGTCCCTGATGGCCACCTCATCATTTTCTGCAGGCCCCAGTGGACCTGAGACAGGTCCACTACATAGAAAGTAGTGAGTGATTCTGACAGCTCTGCACTCTCTACTTCACAACCCGGGAGCAATTTCAGCAGCACGTCGGAATTTAGGGGGTAGATAGTGGGCTGGTGTTTGGCCAAAAGTTGAGGAAGAAGAACAGAGCTCTGAGTGTCTTACAAATCGCATGAAGTACCTGGAACATTGTTTGCGGGGGGGGGGGGTTGGCTAAGCTAAGGGAAACTAAATATTTATGTCAGACATAAGCGGGACTGTAAGGCTCAGTTCAGGACCCACCTACTGGCCCTCGCCCCCCTTGGCGGCCTCCGTCACCTCAGTGCTGACACCTGCCTCTCTGCTATGATCTATCTATCCACTTCTCTCAGGGTGAGGAATTGACCCATGTGCTGTTACTGATGGATGTTCTATCTCTCCGTTCTAAAGTGCCTAAATCCCCTACCATGTACTTATGTATGCTTGTATTCCCCGATTCCCTGCCCAATCAGCGTGTTTCCTGACCTCTCTCTCTCTCTCACCATGTCTTCCCTTGTCTACACATGTGCCCAGCTTTCCCTGCACCCCCCAAGACAGATGTACTGGCTTATCGACCCCGACTCGTACCTCCAACTATGTTTCCTGTCTCTCATCTCTATAGGGTTCTCTGTGTCTGGGTCCTCGTTCCCCAAGGTTTCTGCATTACAGGAATGGAAAGACGACGGCTTACTATGGTTGTCTTCTGCAGCTCAGATTAGTCTCTTTTTACTAGAATTAAGGTTGGCAATGATACTTTGCTGTGTTGCTTTGCTTTCAACTCATTGTAACTACTGATGAATATTGCAAGAGGGACATCTGATGGCTAATAGATATTCCTGCAGGCAATAACTGAGAATGTGTTTGGAAATAAATGGACTACGGACTAACTAATAAATCAGACAAAAAAGCACATTTATCATCTCACATCAACTGGAATATGATCTATGCTCTCTGGGATACGCTCCAACCACCCAACCCACTCCCCTACAGAAAATCATTTAACCTCTTTATATTATGATGCTATTTCCTTGATCTAGCTGTGCTTGGAGGGGGGGGGGCACTCTCCACAGAGGTTCTGCAGTGTCTACCGAGCCGGTCCTAAGCAGGTTCTGCCTTAGAGGCATACAATACAGCTCCTGTCACAGGAAGTCAGTGTCCTCAGCTCCCCTCCCCTCCTGTCCAGGTGGTGAGGACTCTGTGCCACCTCCTCACTGCAAGTCTAACCAGGAACCCAGAGTAAGTGTAACCAAGAACTAGTTTGCAGTAGTTTGCACTGTTACCTCACACCTCTAGCACCAAGGGTCAAGCCTCTGCTTGAGCTCCATGTTTGTGGAGTTTGCATGTTCTCCCTGTGTCGTTGAGGTGTTCCATCTGGGTTCTCTGGTTTCCAGCCCCAGTCCCAAAAGAAAAACATGCTGGGATTAATTGTAGTTACTGAGTTGCCCATGTGAATGAATGGTGTGTGAGTGAGCCCTGTGATAGGTCGGTGCCCCATCCTGGGTCGTTCCCCGCCTTGAGCCCTGTGATAGGTCGGTGCCCGATCCCGGGTTGTTCCCCGCCTTGAGCCCTGTGATAGGTCGGTGCCCCATCCTGGGTTGTTCCCTGCCTTGAGCCCTGTGATAGGTCGGTGCCCCATCCTGGGTTATTCCCCGCCTTGAGCCCTGTGATAGGTCGGTGCCCCTTCCTGGGTTGTTCCCCGCCTTGAGCCCTGTGATGGGTTGGTGCCCCATCCTGGGTTGTTCCCCGCCTTGAGCCCTGTGATAGGTCGGTGCCCCATCCTGGGTTGTTCCCCGCCTTGAGCCCTGTGATAGGTCGGTGCCCCATCCTGGGCTATTCCCCGCCTTGAGCCCTGTGATAGGTCGGTGCCCCATCCTGGGTGCGCCCTTGCCTTGTTCCTGATGGCTCTGGACCCCCCCTCCCCCAACATCCTCAATAAGGCATGTGGTCACCGAAAATGATTGGCTACAAGAAACAGCCCCCCTGTACCTTACACAACCACATGGGGTGATAGGAATACAGGCTATTATCACAGTGAGCCCCAACCTGTGCACTTCTGTCCACATCTGCACCAATGTGTGTTGGGGAATGAAATATATATTTTTTGCAGCCCCGGCTTTTTGTGGCTGATTGAATTTGGCCCTCAGGAAAAAAGAGTTGGGGACCCCTGGTTTATCATATGCTGCAGTTTAATTAACATGGCTCAGTATGTGCTATTCCCACAGTAACAAATTGGCTAATGACTGGAACACATAATAAAATAAAAATTTATATTAATTCTGAGCCACGTTCATTTAAACAAGTGTTGGTCATTAGGTCCTTTTTAAGGTAGGGAACTAAAACAGACCCGATGACTGAAATTCTTTACGAGTCTGGCATTGCAACAGTGAGTTATGTCATTATCTGATAAGTTATCTGGTGCTTGTGTATAAGGCGGATTTGGAGGTGCAGCACCTGCTCATAAATTCTACTTGTCATGTGACCTGGCTTCATAATTGTAAATTTGCAGAAACAATAATGATAGCGATAATTTCAAGAGTTATAAAGCTTTTATTTAAACAATCTTATACCTCTAGACTTTAAATCTTTGCATTTGGCAGAAGGTGTTTGTGTTATTAATGGCTGTTTCAGTCACAATTAAATGATGTTTCAGATGGATATACAATTCTGTGACGATGACAGAATTATTTACTAATACACAAGAAGAATCAACAGTTCACTAATTTGTTTCACATTACCATCCACGTCTCTTTAGTGCACATCTGAGCAGTATAAAATAAGCTCTACAACCACCATGGAAAAATGATATTTACTTTTGTTTGGTGAATTATTGAAAAATAGCACTGAGAGGTTAAATGATTAAATGATTTCTATCCTGGTTTTGGATGGGATACAGAATGTGGAAGCTCCATAAACACAACACTACAACTGTGGGAATATGGCTAAAATGCAAGCAGACATCACTGATTACTAAAATTTTACATAAATCATTCATTGCTGAAATAAATGAGACCGGCTTGTTGCTTTAACATTCACCTGACGGGGCACAAATGTTACTAATGATCTACAAATCAAGAACAAATATAGTCACTACTTGATAAAAGATGTCACGATTCATTATTGATGAACAAACATGAGATCAGTATTTCACTTGTGTTATTCATCACTTGTCCCTTCAGTAATTCCTTCAGTAGTTCCTGCTGTAGTTCACAAAGGTTTACATAATTAACAGATATAGTAATAAACATAGTAACAGCTTGAGATAAAACATGCATCATGATTCGTTAATCATGAATTGACATTATATCAGTATTTAACTAAGACTTAGTTTGTGGTTAATTAATACATAAGTTATAGGATAATACTATATTATTTGTGCCCTGTCAAGTAAAGTGTTATTGTATTTTTTAAGTAACAATGTTAGACTCTTGGATATTAAGCTGGTTACATTTTTGTTGTGGTGTTTAATGTTTTGGAAAGGTCTTCTGTTCTCTGAGGCATAAGGCCTTTGCTGTCAATTTAAGTCAAAATAACTGCCTTAAGCTTTGGAAATTGGGCAACAGTGGACAGTATGAAAACCAGCGGTGTTGCTACACTGTTCTCCATACAGCTACCAAACAGACGGTGATGTGTGTACGACTTTCAACCCGTTTCTCACCATTCTTCACTTCCTCCACACTACAGGTTTCCGAGTATTAGAGCAAAGGCCATTAAAAGGCCATGTGGTAGCTACAGGAAGTGAAGCACACTTGTAGAACATTAATCTCAATAAATGGTAACAATTAGCCTTTATTGCTTTTCTTGCGAGAAAAAGATTAAGATGTACTTTATTGATCCCAGAGGGAAGTTCTGGTGCATACAGCAGTGAGAACATGGTGATTCAGTGCAAGGAAAAACAGACAAGGTGCACACAATTAAGCGGGCAAGGACCTCGCATGTTTTCCTTCAGCCAATAATAACATACATACATTTCACAGAACGTTTGACTTTTGATACATTTACACTGGGATGGCATTAACTGTACCCTAGCTGCTCAGTACATTTGGTACCGAGAACCTCTTTCCATCAACATGCTGACAAAGCTTGGGATTGTGGGTAGATCAGTAAATTTCCCACCTGATGTCCATGTCAAGGTTTCAGCTTTGGGTACATTTGACAATCAAACAATTATCTTTCAGAACAAAGTGAAAATGTTGAAACTCCAACAAAGCTACAAGAAGCCTTGCCGCCCCCCACACCCCCTCCCAAGATGATACTTGCTCCAGTTTATTTTAACCCTTCCTTGAGTATTCAGAGGGAGCTGCAAAGGCGCCCTGCCCAGATGATTCATCACTCAGAAAGTGATTGATTACCCACTATTGATGCCTCATTGATGGTCCTGCCTTCCATCACCATCACGTCATGGTGTTTTGCAATCCATGTCACTATGAAATGTAGCTTATGTGCTTTCATTGTGTGTGTTGGAGTGTGTAACCCAGGAATGTAAAGCTCTGCTTTGCAAGGGTCAGTGTCCTGCACACAGAATTTGAAGCAGCTAGACACCACCCTTGAGAAGAGGAGGTCCCCAGTAAGGGTGTGTACAGTATGTGTGCGTACTGAGCTTTACCACGTACAGAATGTCTCAACCAGTAGCTTTTCCTGCTTTCGTAACTGCATTGTGCACCATGAAAATTTCTGTGAATCTCGGTTTTTAAAATGATTTTGCTACAGTAAATTTCATATGCAATAACTAGTCCCTTACCAGAGTTGGTGAGTGTATGCTAGGTAAGGTCTATTTGAAATGAGCACTGGTAACGTTACCATTTTGTACATGTTAGCTATGCCGCTATTGAATAATACAGTCATAGTTAAAACAAAGCTTGTATTGCAGCTGAATTTAATTCATGTAGGAAATTCAAATACAGCATTGAAAAGAGAGATGAATCCGACATAAATCCGAAATAAAAATCCGTTTGTTATGTTTGATTTTATAATATAAAGCAATTATATTGCTTTAAATAATTACACCTAATGATTATCATCCTATCTAGGTGTAACCCTGCCTTGGGCTCGAAGTAGCCTGGGATAGGTTGTCCAGGGTGAGCAGTTGGTGGATGGATGGATTCATTTTGCAATCAGTAAGTTTTATTTTATTAGCCATGTACAAATATGCAGTTATAATGTAACAATAAATCCATTATTGCACATTCCTGTCCATATAAGTCATCGGCAATTTTTTTAACAGTATTTTTGACTGTATTTTTCTGTCTACATCTTAAGTTAATGTCTCAGCGTGTAATTTTTAAATGATCAGATTGTCTCTCATATGCATGATTATATTCTGTTCAACTGTTTCTTGCACTATGATTAATGAAATCATAATTTCATGTCAGTGTATGACCCCTGGATCAGATTGATGAAGATGACGATAAACATGCTTTGACTTTGCCTTGTGTTTGCATGATCAAAGTCTGTTATGGGTGTAATGGGAGGGAGAACCGGTTGCCTGACTTATTTGGGATTTACCCCTGGCTTGTCCCCTGTACCATCTGGGACGGACTCTAGGCCCTGCAATGACACTGTCTGAGGTAAGCGAGTGAAAGATGAATGAATAATGAAAATCTTCTCAAGAAACTTTGAGTGGAATTCCATTAAAAGCCATAAAATGTTGAAACAACCCTCAAATGTCACCTAAGGCCTCATTGGATAGTGTGGAAATTGTTTCCGACAAAGTACAACCTTTCCGATAACATCCAGCTTGACTAAACCAGGTATTGGGATATATGGGTGGATGGTGTTCAGGAAGAGGGCAGATGTGGTTGAAGCTTGAGCGTCATCAAAGGATGGATAGTCCTACCATTGTGAGGTGGCTGATCGAATTCTGTTTGAGGAACAGGTGGCCTTAATATACTTTATATGAGTCCATCTGATGACTATGTAACATGCAAAATTATTAAGGCAGGAGTATTAAGCAATAATATGAAGCTTGAGTCATTCATTCATCCTTCCATTTTCTATACCCGCTTATCCTATGTAGGTTTGTGGGAGGTCCAGCGCCTATTCCAGAATCTATGGACGTAATGTAAGGAATAACCCAGAACAGGGCATTTAGTCATTCAATGCATGTTTATTACATGGAAGCAAACAGTTACATGAGGCAAATGTAAACCATCACCCCAGCGAGTAGAAATATAGAAGCAGGAAGATGAGAGCCTTGAGAGTAAAGAGGAAAGAACGACGCAGGAAATCCCAAGTAAACTATTCCGTCTTTCTTCATATCATCCCGACTAGTAATTAACAAGGTTTTTATTATCTAGTCAAACATTTATATTTTAAATAGCCAATACCGCCTTCAATGTAAATGTTGATTAACAACCAAATAGAAATGTATTAGTTTAAAGTTATTTCTTTCTGGAAGGGCTGCATGAAGTATGTCATTTCTTTGCAATTGGCCGGATTTTTGCCTGGCACTGGCACAAGCTGGGACACCATTCCTTGACGTCGGAGTTGCCACATCCATTTGTCTGTACCAGGTTTGGGCAATTGCTGTATTTGTCGATGTATGGACACGGGTTAGCTGTTAAGAGAGGGGATTTCAACGATTAATAACATATGGCATACTGTAGTTCCAAGTTAAACCAAAGCCTTCATTGCATAAGCCGTGAGATGGGGGGGAATCAGCTTTTTGTGCATCTGACCTCCTCATACTTACTGCACAGTTTGTCATCACAGTTGTTTGGGCAGTCAGCACATGAGTCCCCCTTAGTATACGGAGGAACTTCTTTGAAGTTCCCACTGCAATACATAAAAACATGGGTGGTAACTGTGTCCTATGGCAGTGTTTTTCAACCCGGTCCTCACAGTCCCACAGTCAGTTCATGTTTTTGCTCCCTCTGATCAGACAGTCCACATTTTTGCTTCCTTGCAAGGAGGGAGCAAAAATTTGGACTGTCTACGGGTCCCCGAGGACCGGATTGAGAAGCACTCTCCTATGGTCATAAACATGGGTTCAAGAAACAGATGCACTATGGATTAGGGTTATCATACGCTCGGAAGTAGTGGCAGCCGTAGAAGTACGTTGCAGAGTTGCTGCAGTAGGTGACCCCACATCCTACCTCATAAGAGCCATACCACACCACCTGCAAGACATGGAGCACGTCTGGTGTCAACTCTATTTCTCTGTCATTTTTTATCGTTTCTGACATGCTTCATACCAGCAGTTGCACATTAACAACCATTAATACACAAGACCCTTACAAATATTTGATAAACTTATTTATTTTACATAATTTCAGTGAATGATATAGTCACCTGTGTGTAATGGCCAATCGGGTTTCCGTTAATGGATCCAATGGGAAACTGGTAATTCTTGACTTCATTGTGCCATGCCCCAACAACAGAAGTCCAGTTATATACAGCATTAGACTTAAATAAGTTCTCGCCACACTGGTACCCTGTCAATAAATCACATAGAGAATGATGGTGCTTTAATCGTTCAATGTAGCTGCGTAAACATGTACAAATTGTACTTTTAACCTTTAAAAAAAGTAACATGTTTTTGCTAAAGAACTCACATTTGTTTATTGGTAAGTATGTAAGGGTTAATGAACAACAAGCCATGTCTTGTGTTTTTTTTAAAAAAAAAAGGCTGCAGAGGCAAAAATTGTGAATTATGCGTTCAGCCACTGTTTTATTCATTTAGCTTATTAAGTGATCACCTATTATTATAACCGGACTTGCGTTCCATTTGGTTAATGCAGGTTAAACAGCACTGTAAAGTATGACTGGACTACAACTGCACTATTTCAGTGAATCATTATTGGCATTTAATCACTGGCTACAGGACTGGGCTCTCAGCCTGAAGCACTGTTGTTGTTGCCTAAGTGATGTCGTTACCTATATATTTTCAGCTAAATAACGTTAGCTAAAATTAAACATTATAATTACGTACTGATTTACTACTGTGATTCACCTGGCTGGCACCACACGTACAGTTGTAAAGTTAATCCTCCATTCAGATTCGAGAACTGAACAGTTCCGGGGCATATAGAGAGATCAAACGAGAGCAGACAGAGCGTGGCACAGCAGAGTAGCATTACCGTCAATCTCCCGGCTACTAGGAGGCCCATGAGTCAAATTGCAGTTGTTAATCCAGTTTTGAGCATTCGTGGACAGCTGTGCGTTCCAGGACTGCAGCCATGACACCAACAAAAGAGAAGAGCCAGCTGACCAGACAGACCACAGGAAATGAACGTTGAATTCAGAGAAGATTTCTTAAAGGGCAACCAGGATTAGTTTGGGCAAACACAACAATTTACACCAAACAGTGTGAGTGTCAGTAAGAAGTAGCGGTTAGCTCTCCAGCTAAAAGCAACATCCCGTCTGATCCTGAGAGCAGGGCCAGGCGCCCCCCCCCCCAACACAAAGCAGGGTACCCCCCCAACACGAAGCAGGGTACCACCCCCCCAACACGAAGCAGGGTACCCCCCCCAACACGAAGCAGGGTACCATTTTTAGCATGTTTGTAGCAGTTGGCTGCACTGTTCTCCTGAAGGCATTGTGCACATTCACAATCTCCTGCTGGACGTCAGCGTTTTGTGGAGAAACGCCTGTGAAGTTCACACATACAACACTGCATTAGTTGAGATAATTGCAGGAAAAACAAAACACAAAAAAGCATCGGCATAAAATTGTGTTAGATCATGAGTACCTACCTGACTACAGACACCACATATAGAATGAAAGAAGCAGAAAAAAGTCAAAATCAGATCAGTATGAAAGATTTCTTCTTTAACACTGCATTCACTGCTATTTCCCAACAAAATCTTTTTAAATATATTAGGAATTAATCCGATAATAAAACAGTCAAATTTTTCAGATTGCTACAGTATGAATACACAAACCGCAATTGTCAACTTTTCAATTTAATTCCTTTACATCACCATGCAGTATAACGCAGAAGGCAGCTTTTCTAGGCATTTTGTTCACCACAAAGGTGTAACTGAGAAAAAGACACACATTCCATGGTGAACTACAGTGAGTCACTTTTGTACTCGGTGGGACTCTGTACTCACCAGGTCCCCGCAAGTCAAAGACACTAGCAGCACAGTGATGCACACAGCAAATACCATCATTGTTAAGCACCTCTAAAACTTTGTAGATGGGAGTAATTTAATTCAGCAAAAAAAAAAAAAAAACAGGAAAAAAAAAGACTTTGTAAGTACCTTAGAACATTTACAATGTTTTGGTGACTCAGAGCAAATTATAACACAATGCAATATATCTCTGAATATATTATATATAAATAGTTCCATAAACTACATCATCACAACAGGAAAAATAGATGTGAATTTGAAATAAATACCTTAATTGCCGGCCAAGTGGGGGAGCTACAGTCAGCCTCGGCTGCCTGAATTTGCTGTGAGCAGTGAGACTCCGCTCCCTCCCTTTATATGCGCTCCTCCGGCGCGTCTCCCCTTCAGTATCCCTCAAGGTGACACCTGCAGCAGTTTCACTTCAGCTCAGAACAATAACAAGAAAATCGGGCAACAACAAAGGACAGATTAGATTACGCTGCATGGCGGAGGGCGTTGTGCCTTTGCAGTGCGGCACAAAGGGGATCTCGTGGGTAGAATGTGTACACAAAAGAACAATGACAGATTTTTCTCTTTTTTGTGAGCAAACCATGTGGTGAAGCCCTAGTGTATATGTACTGTCTGTCTCGTTGAAGTGGAAAAGTAGATGTTTATTCAAGGATTATGCGGAAAACAAGATCTATAGAAAATATCAATCAAGACAGCAATACTCCCTGTAACCACCCTATTTGGTAGGATTAGTTCACCAGGACACTTAACTTTGCTTTTGGGCACTCCTTTCTGGGTGAAGGAACGAATGCAGTCACGATTAGGCTTAAAAGCATGAGTATGTGAAATAAACATAAACAAAGCTGAAATGAGGTAATAGAACATGTAGGTAGATGTAGGTAAAGAAAAGCCGTGGCTGAATGATTGGGAGGGAATGTTTGTCTGGCTTCCCCTCTCCCTCCTGTTGGCGTGGCTTTCATTTAGTAAGTAATTTTTTTTGTTTTGTTTTTGGTCAATGAAATGAACACCTAGCAGGCATGCCCCCCCCCCCCCCCCATGCTATAGTCAGAGTTGGGTAATTCAGGTCCAGAGAGTAAAAGTCCAGACCAGTTTCCCAACCAGTTGAGTACTGTGACTCTTTATGCTCAGCTGGGTGGTTGAAACAAAATCTTGGTCTAGACTTTTACTTGAATTACCCAACTCTGACTATACAAATACTGCAATGCTGGAATGTTAAGTTCTATGGGAGAGTCCAAACTGAAACATCCATTCATGTTCTCACTGTATATGGTCATCAGAGATCTGCAGCATCGTGCACTAGATAAAGGAACACCCTGGACAGGATGTTGGTCCATTGCAGAGTGGGTGGGATTAAACCCAAGCGATGTGGAAAGAACATGCTAACTTCACACAGAGCGATGTGGAAAGAACATGCTAACTTCACACACAGCGATGTGGAAAGAACATGCTAACTTCACACAGAGCGATGTGGAAAGAACATGCTAACTTCACACACAGCGATGTGGAAAGAACGTGCTAACTTCACACACAGCGATGTGGAAAGAACGTGCTAACTTCACACACAGCGATGTGGAAAGAACGTGCTAACTTCACACACA